GTGGCCTCTCTAGAGAGGTTTTACAACTGATTCATGTACATCCTCTTGGAGATTGCTACATGGCCAAAGTGGCAGGATTTACTGTATTTGGTAGCCAGCTGACATGTATACCGGTAATCAATACATTTTTACAATTGATAAGTATTCTCAAGTATTTCATGTTATAGTTCTCCTTTCAACATTGATACATACATTCGTTTTTTGCAACAACTGCCTGCTCCATTATTGTTTCTTCAGCCTCCAAGTTTAACTTATCTAAGATATCAAGCTACAGCTTTCCTTTCAACATTATATTGCCAAAAAGTGGCCACATGTACATATTCCTCTGCATCAATTACCTGCCCAAACTTAAATAACTTTCTTCAGTCTTATCACTTGGGTGTGATCATTACACCAACAAATCTTAAGCATTGCATATAGACCAGTGTTTTTCAACCTTTTTCAGTCACAGCACCCTTTCAGAAATAAAGAATTTTGCATCGCCCCAATCCCAAATTCATCACAGAATATTACTTGTGCATCACTCTGAAACTTGTCAAGTGATATATTCTGGCACCTTGCTGTCAAATAAAATGATAGATGGGCACCTTATCGCCAAAATATTGAGGTATTCATTTTGGGCACATCTCTGTTTAAAATCTTTCCGTTTCTAAGTAATACATACTCTAGAGGTTTCTAATATTGGTGTTTCACAAAAAACAATTTTATTCCGAAATATATTTTTTTAATCTAACTAAATTTGTCTCGCGGCACAATGATTGAAAAACGCTAGCATAGACAACGTAAACAATAGACACATGTACATGGTATGATGGCGTACTTGTACATTGTACAATCAGCCTGCTTTACAATACAACATTTTTTAGCCCTAAATCCCATCTTATTCTACATATAAATAAAAAATAAATATAAAGCACACAAATACATGTCTGCAGTCCTTGCACATTGTTAGGTGAACAGACATGAAGAAGACATGAATTATGGAAAGACTACGGTAATAGAAATGCACCATGGCATTCTTTACCATTTTAAAAACCATGGTTCTTTCCTGATAGAAAACTGCCATTTAACTCTTGATTCTTTTCTTAAGATGGGAAACTGAAAAGAGCTCTACTTTTAATTTGTAAAGGGTCATGTACTTGCATGTTGCAATACTTCCAGGACAGCTACCCACGCATTGTGACAAATGGATAACAATTGAACTTCACGGTACAGTAGCCAAACCATGTTTACCTGGGTTTACCTGAAATGTTTATATTTATAGAATGGAACTTCTTCAATATTTATTTTTAAATTCACTGTCCGCAGAAAAACACACACATACATGCACCTGCGGACCCAACCTAACTGGGTTCTAGAGGCATTGGTGTAAACCGGTTTTAACTGGTTTAAGGTGGGTTGTTTTTTTTCCTTGGAAAGGAAATGAAATGGCATTTACATGTAATAGATCCATGTGCATGTACATGGAGTTAGATACCAAATATGTTCCCTAATAGCATCCTATTTGAAATGTTTAGATTTACATTTCCTGCAAAACATTCCATTTACATGCACTTAATGTTCTTATACATATATGTTTATTGTTATCACAAATTACAGTACATTACAGTGAACATTTTCCTTTACCGGTATTTAAGTGTTGTAGATGAACTTCTTGTATTGAATACTTTTCTGTGATTCAATTTGTCAAAATAAAATAGTCTACCTGTACAACTACGGTAGTCAAAAATAGTGGGGGGAAATAAACACAGAAAACATGTTTTTCAATATTCTCAACTCTGAATATATTTTTCATCTATCTTTTGATCTGTTTTTTTGTCTATTTTTCATTTTTCCATGAGAAAATAGAAGAAAATTTGTGTAGTTTTCTAAAATAAAAATATTGAAGTTATTGCAAAAAAATACATTTTTGCATGTGAAAATGGCCAGAGAAGGGCTGGTCAGACCGCATTAATAAAGATGACTATAACAACATGCATAATTTTAAATCGTTCCTAAGTGCTATTTAGTGTTAACTTTATCATTATCAATATTGATGAAGTCAGATGGAGCCCTTAGAGGAATCTTGAACCCTGGTTTTAAAGAGAATTAGGTCGAGTTCTGGGGAGAGGTGAAAAATAATTTGTGAGCGCTTTCATTTTTATTGGGCAGGTATGTGGAAGGACATCAGAACTCAACTTCATCTTTAAGTCTCGTCCAGCTAGTGATACATTTTACGTAAATTGTAAATATACTGTAGACAGAGGCCAAATTTGATAGTACTTTTATAAATCTAAACCTCAAATGTCAGCTGCCATGTTGACAAGTTTGGTAATTGGTAGTATTGTATACAGAATCAAATAAATTATTAAAACTACCACCTTCCTAAACTGGTTGTCTGACAGGTAAATAGGGGTACTTTTTAAGGGGTACATTGTGTCAGGTGTACACTGTAGTTAACTTCTATATTGTCATATCTGAGGTTTGATGGCTCTACCCTCAACTTGTACAAAGGCTATAACTCTAAAAACCAAAGGAATAGAAAAATGTATGTGGTATTACATAACGAAAAACTTACATTTGGAGTCACAATCTTAGAAGATACCAGGTTACATACAGATGAAGACATTTGGCGTGGAAGTACAATGTATATTCATGTCATGAACTACACCTCTTAGATACAAGGCTCAATAAATTCCTGATGACATGAAACATCCAAAACTGATATCAAGGAACACGGTTGTTGAAAGTTACCATATAGATTTTTACTTTGAAGATGTTCATTAAAGGCACTGCATGTTTTATCAAATGGCTCTCATGGAAGCTACGAGTACATTATTTTGTTCACCAAATGGCATGGTATGGTTGGAGACTACTTCCCTTCACAGTGCATCTTGCTGTCGAGTTGGGTGTATAGGCACTTTGATCCCTGAGACAGGTAGTTGTCCTTCCCTAAATGTTCTTCTTGTCTGTCTGCCTCATCTGCGTCAACGTCAACTGGCAGTGGTAAGGTAACCTTGGCGTCCTTTTGAGGGCTTTCCTTCTCCGTCTCTTCCATGCTGTCGTATTCCCCATTGTCAAAGCAAAAAGCATTGCTGACTCTTGTTAGACAGGTACCCATGGTTGTCGAATGCTAGAACGTGGGGAAAGAAATGATCCACAGTCAACTCCATGATTGTCACCATGAATTTTGCTTGAATTCTTGACTACAGTATATTTACGAAAATTCAAAATCTCAGTTATGAAACTAAAAGATCTGACATGACTACCAAATACATCTGTATTGATCTCAATAGCTGTTAGTAAATGCCCGACCAACACCTACGTGAACGTGCCCTGAACAAGTCTACTACAAATTTACCTTGCTGCACTTTTAAAGTCGAAGTTGAATAATGGCCTTTCTTTTTAAGTTTATGCATTTATGATCATTGAACTGTATTACAAAGAAGCTACCTTTAACCTATATTATTTAGCTAGCTTAACAAACAGTACTTTTGGCTCTTACCTCAAAACGATAGCACAAAAATCCTTTCAAATGTTCAAGTTTGCGAGGATTTAACGTGTACACAAGTTAATGTACGGTACAGTAAATATCACGCAGCTTTCACTTTAGTGTCTAGACTCCTCAACAGCAACTGGCAAAGTGGTGTTCTCGCATGGGTCGTAAGCGAGCTTAATGTATATGCGTGCGTTTTTATATGTGCGTTTCAGTAAGAAGAGTCCATTTTGGGGGGAGGAGGGGCGGAGAATATGCATTTTATCCATCTGATGTACAAGGCTGCATGTTATAAGCTTTTCTAAATATCTGAACCATTCTCAAATATCAAACTATATATACGAAAATATTGTTATGAATAGGATCTTTTGAAACAGCTAAAAAATATCAATATGGTCATTCAATTGATGCGCTCAGTCAAGTACGCAATACAGGAACACAATAGGGAACGCAATGGAAGAATCCGTTTTTTGGACTTTGTATTACCAGGTACCGGTAGACTATTCATGGAAGAAAAAGGGTGTACCGTAGCATTTTTCATGATATCTCTATCCCCGCCTCTTTTGATAATTTTTTCTTTTATTTCTTCTCTCTCTTATTTGCACTTTGTAGCAACTCTCTCGTACTTTTATTGCCTGTGTTCCAGTCTCTCTATTTCTTATCCTCATCTCAATTCTTTTTTTATACAAGTCTCTGAATTGCTCTCTTCCCTCAAGCTCCATTCAGTCTCTCACTGTACTTCTCTGTAGATTTTTTGCCATTGATCTGTCAGTCTATCTGTCTGTCTAGATCTGTCTGTTTGTCCGTGTCTCTCTTTTTTTCTCTCTCTGAGTTTTGCTTGTCTTGTGGAGTATCCTTTTCAATTCTCATTTTTTTCTGCACAAAATTTTGAATGTATTTTGCACTCTACCATATAAACATTCATGTTTGTATACAATGTACATGTACCTACTGTATGTGTTTACAATCTACTTAATACTGAACGAATGGTGTGATATCTGAAATAGGAGTATGTGTGTACTTGTTTATGCCTGTATAGGCCTACTCATATTTGTGGAACCGTATTGTTCCAGTCATGATTTCATCAGCTGTTTTAGCCCTCTTATTTTCTTCTTTGTCATGTTTCATCATCGTCATCATCATCATTATCGATTAAAGTCAGCATTTTCCCTCTTATGAGAGGAAACTGACTTTCACACCATGATGACACTCCCTCCCCCCTCACTTCTTCTTGTCTCACGAATCCTCCCCATTTAGACCAAACTTACTGCTTTATATTTTCACCATAACTTTCCACCAAATCTGCGGTCTTCCTTTCCCTCTTCTGCCATCCATTTCCAGCTCCCACATTCTTGTAGGTGTGAAATAGGGTGTCAGTGAACTTATGTATTTTTAGTGTGGAGATATACATGCACCGGTAGATATTGATTGAACTTTAATTATTATGTGTAACCATACACAGATATAAATGCCTTGCTTGGTTTTCCATACATGTCAAATGGCGTTCTCTTCTCCTCTTCTCTAGAGCTTCCAGTCTTGCCGGTCCGGCTTGTTGGCGGAAATGGGCGAACCTCAGGCAGGGTTGAGGTCTTTCATAACAATCAATGGGGCACGGTTTGTGACGATTATTTCAGCGAAGCGGCCGCAAGAGTTGTCTGCAATCAGCTTGGCATCAGGTGAGTTATTGAAATACATTTAAGGAGAAGTCCTTCCCCCCAAAAAAACATTTAAACAAATTAAAACAAATTTGTTGTCAAAGCAGAAAAATGGAAGAAAGGAACCAGTGGAAGTTCGAAGAAAATCTGATGGAGGATATAAGATTTTATTACGCATTTGTAGAGTTATAATCGATCATCGCAAATTAAAAACTTTGTGATATACATGTTCATGTACCTTAAAATTGTAAAGTTGTCCTGGATCAAAACACAAATTGACACTCAGTGATATAATGTGTGAATTTGTAAAGTTTTGATCGCACAAACATAGATTGACAACTCTGTGATATTCCTTGTAATAAGCTTTGTTCACCTAATTGTTGTGTGCTACAAATTCATAGTTTCTTATTTTCTCTGAAGAAATTATTTCTTTATATTATTGGACACACATCCTCTGAATGCCATAAATTGTCAACTTTAACAACTTTGTGATGTAACTTGTGAATTTGTAAAGTTGTGATCAATCAAATATAAATTTCCACAGCACCTAACCTTTATAATCGTATACCTTAGAAGAAATAAAGCCTGTCAAAAAAATTGTTGCCAGGGCAAATGTCAGATCACTTAAAATTGAGGGGAAAATGCGTTCTTTAGAACCCTTTCCAAATGAATTGATCCATTGCAGTGGCGACGTACAAGTCTACCCACAGGCCATATTCGGCGAGGGGACAACACAGATTTGGCTGGATGATGTGACATGTGCCGGGACGGAACCATCGTTAGCTCAGTGCACCATCCCCAATGGTATTGGAAGGCACAACTGTCAGCACAACGAAGATGTGGGTGTCGAGTGCGGGAGAGAGACACGTAAGTCACTAATAATCTACTAGCTCTTCTTCTTTTTCCTTCTTTTCATTTTGACTAGAGGAATTGAGTAGAGGTGTCGTGGTGTAGTAGATATGTCACCAGACTGTGGATCACATGGTTCATGGTTCATGGTTCGAGTCCTGCCGCTGCACTAATTCCTTTGGCAAGACATTAATCTATGTTTGCCACTCAACACCCAGGTGAAGTAATTGGGTAGCCGGTAGGATTGGGCCCAGCTACAGCATGGTTCATAATGTGATACTTGTATTAAGCGCAGTAGTAGCTGCGCTGTATAAATGGACCTATTACTAATATTATTTCTATAACTGTCCTCATATACCTTTTTGAACTTCCAGTGCCTTGCGGAGTTAGGGGCATAGAGAACGGTAACATCATGGCTAGAATCATAGGGGGATCCTCTGCGAAGAGAGGAAACTGGCCGTGGCAAGCTCAGCTGATCTTAAGAGGGAGTGGTCACTACTGCGGAGGAACGCTCATCGATGAAACCCACGTGCTGACCGCTGCCCACTGCTTTCAAAGGTGATGTCCATGTTCATCTTACCAACAATGTTCACAACGTAAATAGCATTACACCCATAGCAACCATAGCAACAATCACATCTAGATTGTCACTCTGAACTGTCACACTGACAAAAGAGCAAAATATACAATATTTTAGTCAGCCAGCTTTATTTCACAGCATTTTTACAATACTTTTATTTTGAAATTGGAACTATACTTGGAGTAAAGTATACCAGTAGATAACAATGGTTGAATGTACATACAACATTTCCACTAGTATCATCAAAAGTTGGTACACACAGGAAGAACTGCAAGTACAAACCTTGCATAGGGAGGCGCGATAGCTCAGTCGGTAGAGCAGTGGTCTCGTAATCCGGTGACCCAGGTTCGAAACCAAGTCGATGCGCTAGTGGCCTTTGGTAAGGCATTAATTCTCATTACCAGGTCCCTCAGAAAGGACCTAAAGCCGTCGGTTAAATAACCACCACCACCAAATATAAAAAATACCCATATTTTAGATGTAGATTTATTACTGTTTAAAAAATGTCCACCTTCATTTCATCAAACTAAACTCTTCTCAGATACGGCAAGAACTCATTCAAGGTCCGCCTTGGGGAGCACCACCAGCACATTAACGAATCCTCCGAACAAGACTTCCGCATCAGCTGTATTTACAAGCATCCGGACTACGACTCCAGGACCACGAACAACGACATCGCTGTCCTAAGGCTGGATCGCCCCGCTCACATCACGTCGTTCGTCACGCCGGCCTGCCTACCAACGGATGGCGAGTTTGCGGCGGATCATCAGTGTTGGATTTCTGGCTGGGGGAACACAGGTACGTGTCAAATGTCAAATGACAAATTTTGATGCTAGGACAAAAATACCCGTTAACTGTCTACTCCCCATATGTTCCATAGGACACAATGTACAGAATTGCGCAGCAAGGAAAGAGAACTAAATACGCAGAGAGAGGGAGAAAATGAGCGAGAGAGAGAGAGAGAGAGAGAGAGAGGAGGAGGAGGAGGAGAAAAGAGAGAGAGAGAGAGAGAGAGAGAGAGAGAGATAGCAAGGGACAGATAGACAAGAGGGGAAGAGGAGAGATTACTAGGCCCTGTTGCATAAAACTTACCATTGATGGTAATTTCTATGGAAACAATGGTTTGATTGGGTGTTGAGTAAAAATGTTGCCATGGTAGTTAATATATATTCATCACAAAGTTATCATCAGAGGTAATTTGTATGCAATGGGGCCCAGTAATCTCTCCTCTCCCCTCTCTTTATCTGTCCCTTGTTCTCTCTCTCTCTCTCTCTCTCTCTCTCTCTTTCTCTGCTATTTATTCCTCTTTCCTTACTGTGCAAATATGTATATTGAGTTCTGTACAACAGTCAGTCCAAGGTACATTTGTCCTAGCATCAACATTTGAGAGGAAAGAGATGAAATAAGTACAGAGAAAGTGAATATAAAATGGAACAATACCCACTTATTTAAGATATATGGCTGTGAATTGCTTCAAGGATAATGCAGCTGCAAAAGAAATTGAGAAAGTACTATGTCTTTTTATTCTCTTCCCATCTATATTCTACATACAAATCAGTTAGTATGGATTAGGTAAATTTTTAAGCAGCTGTCTGTTTTCAATCACAAATTTATCTCTTGTCATTATTGACATGTATCAATTTGCTGGTAATTTTTATGCCTCCGTTACAAAGTAGCCGGAGGAATTATGTTTTCGGGTTGTCCGTCCGTACGTCCCGTTCTCGTGATCGCGTTATCTGAAGAACCGATTGATGGATTCCTGCCAAACTTTGGTCATGTATGTATCTTGCAGAGCCAATGAACTGATTAGATTTTGGGGTCACGAGGTCAAAGGTCAAAGGTCACAGGGCTCATTATGTATGCAAAAACAGCTCGTGATCGCATTATCTCAAGAACCGATTGATGGATTCCTGCCAAACATAGATCATGTATGTATCTTGCAGAGCCAATGAACTGAGTAGATTCTTGGGTCATGAGGTCAAAGGTCAAATGTCATGGGCTCATTATGTATGCAAAAATAGCTTGTGAACGCATTCTCATTAGAACTGACAGATAGATTACTATTTAACTCAGGACATCTTGCAGAGCCAATGAACTGAGTAGATTTTAGGGTCATGAGGTCAAAGATCAAAGGGTCATATATGTATATGAGAAATTGCTTGTAATCACGATATTCTGAGAACCTGTTAATGGATTACAATGAAACTTTCTTCTGTTTTGTAAACTTGCTCTATGACGGAGGCATCATTTCCGACTGCGCGCAGTCAAAGTTCCATCTAGTTGTTTTTGTAGAGGAAGATGAAGAGGAAGCACTTAAAGTGCTCTTGAGCTGAAGTTGCATTCATAACATTAATTTACAAGAAAGACAGGAAAAGAGCTCTTGTTTCAATTACACTTTCATTGATCACTCAAATCAATTGGTTGCAATATTAAAGTTAATGGCCATATGATAGGTCGTTTATAAACCCTTGATTGCAACTTCCACAAGTAAGATGCTTATATCAATTGGTACCTGGCAGGAATTTATTCTTTATAATGCTTGAGCGCTGCAATAGGAGAGTCTGTATATGTCTCGGTATCTTTACAGTCGCCTGTATGCACCAAGTGTGAGCAAAGTGCAGACAATTATATTTTGAGAATATTTTTCTTTTCTCCTGCCTGTCCAGGGAACGATAATTATCCAAGCAGGCTGCAAGAGGCTCGCGTGCCCCTCCTACCACGGTCGACCTGCACCAGGCAGAATGTCTACGGTAACAAGCTAACCCCTCAGATGCTCTGTGCTGGGTACCTCAGAGGGGGTATCGACAGCTGCGACGGGGACAGCGGCGGCCCGTTGGTCTGCGAGAACAGTAACTCCGTTTGGAAAGTGGTGGGCGTGACTAGTTGGGGGTATGGCTGTGCCCAGCCCAACGCGCCGGGCGTGTATGCTGTGGTGACACGTTACTTAGGGTTTATTAATGAGAAGATGATTACTCGGACCTGTACGTAATGAAATGAGTCTCCGTGGCTTTCCTGAAGAATAATCTTAGGTTTCAGGTTTAGTTTATTCTGCTTTAAACAATGATGCAAGATGCACAAGGTTTTTATAATACTACAAGGGTACACAAACAAGGGGTGTTTTGTTCATATCGCCAAAGTTATAATATGAAGATGTGATGTATTATGTTCTGTCATAAAATGAGTTAATGTTAGATTATATATCATGTTTAAATCAATTACACTGTCTCTTTAAAGTTAAAACAATAAATATGTACAACAGCATTATTGTTTATTTTCTACAAAACAATGTAACACATATTTTGTATTTTTGTATGTTGATGTTTGGACAAATAATAAATGAAAATAATATGAAGAATATTTACATGCAAGACAAATCACATAATTTAAGTTTGATATATAACAGAAGGGGCTAAAGGTCAAACAAAGCTTGTTATGGTTAGTCCTTGGTTTAGATGTACATATTAATGTGAAGATCGAGAGAAAGAAATAAAAAAAAAGTATGAAAGAGAGGAGAAGGAAAGAGAAGAAACAGCACCAAAAAAAGGGGATATTTTCAAATATATTCGGGATATTTGTGTCTAGTCCAGCTTTTTCTTTGTTGGTGACATCTTTCAGATAGATTTTCAACTTTTAAAGACAAGAGCATGCAGTTATCCTTTAACGCTGTAAATCTTCCACCTCAACAGGGGACATGCTAGTATCAGCTAAGAGTCACGTAGCATGAGTCCGCCTACAGAAGGGGCACTGGAAATTTTGTTGTTGGGGGTGGGGGAATGGGGACAAGGCACTAGTCTTACTTGGGGGATGCACATTTCTAAGGCTACTGATTAGGGAGAAGGGACGGGAGGCAGTTCATCCTTTTACCCTTCTTTTTCCCTACCTCTCTTGTTCTTGCTTTTTTCTTTCTTTCACCACTTTATGCCCCCCCCCATGCCCAATGTAGCTTGGCCACACTTAACTTGCACATATTGAACCCCCCCCCCCCCCCCTACTCCCTGCCCCTAACAAAATTCACCAATTTGTTAACATTTTGATAAAGCACAGGCAACAGTCGCTGTCACCCGTTCGACAATGTAAAATGGATGAAGTTTACTGTGTATGCTCTCCTGTATGCACACGTAGATAACGTGGTTGTAGTGAAAAGCTATTACAGTTGTATATAAACATATCAAGTGCCCCCACATATTTGCGATAAAAGCATATGTTATCTGTTTGTATTGTGATCGAAGATGGGGAAATCAAATAGCATTTGTTTGTATTTCTTTTGTGATCAATGACATGTCATATTTCTAAATTTCTTTGACAAGGACAAATGCAAACTGAAACAAGATATTCTCTATCATGATCGTATGTAAATCATTGTCACATGAGAGCTACTTACTTTTTCCCCCTTTTTTGTTGTATAACTCCATTCTGTGGATATCAAGTCCCACCTAATTAGCCTAGAATCTGTACGTTGTTATTTCATTTTGCGCTTGGCGATCTCTCCCATCCTCACCCTGCTGCAAGCTGGAGCTGGGGTGATCCAGGAATCTGTACGCGTAGATGGTACGCTTGGCATTGAAATTTAGTGATCAAGCTATCTTGGTTTTGGGGAGATCGCAGTTTTGGTGATTACACCCAATTAGATCGACCAGATTCTGGACTACACTCAAGAAGTGAAAACCGGTACATGTTTGGATTAAAAGATTTTCATTTTTAGATAGATATAGATAGATAGATAGATCAAATGGATTTTATTAAGATCTTCGTGTCTGGCAGTTAAAAACTGAAATGAACATGAATTACAATACAAATTTCCAAAGAACATTCACATAATAACATGAGATACCAATGTTGAAACAGCAATTAGTAGTTTCATATTAGCATTGAGAAATTTGTTCCAATTGAATATTATGCATGTATGACAAAACACCACGATCAAACAAGTCTGTAAAATGCGGAATTTGACTTTTGAATTTACAATCATTCATAAACTTAATTGGATAGAAAGGGTTGCCTTAATGTTGCTTTTGGCAAGATGTCGAACTATATTTGCTGCTCTCCCTCCAGTGAAGAAGAGTGATACCAAGTAGGAATACATTCTTTAAGTGCTGTATCACATGGTAGGTTGGCTAAAGCCATGGTAATAAATAATTAGTATTTGCCTTTCCATTACCTCAGGAAAAGCACTTACTAAATCAGACAATCATTATTTTGCAGTATTCTGCGCATTTTTCTTTATTACAGTGAATTTAAAAAACAACAACGTAAGAGCCAGCTCTATAGTACTGCCATTGTTAACCCGTTGAATATTAGTTGATTCAATGATTTTGAGTAGAAAACATTATATACACAGCTTATTTTCAGAGATTAAAACGGTCTTAAATGGCTTATTTTTAGAGATTGAAACAGTATTAGAATTAAATTTCACAACTACACCTACCAATTCAAGATACAATTGGTTACAATACAAATACTGTCAAAAGGAAATGTTGCATGAAAAACAAGATCTTATTATCAAAGCAAATAACATGTGTTTTTTTCTACAAACCCTATTTTGACTTATTATGAATGGCTTTTGAAATCATAGCCCAAATGGCTTGCCATTCATCATCAATACAAGGTTGGCTCGTTGAGTCACGGCGGAATGGCTAGTTCCCAGTCCTTCATTGAAAAGGGACAAAGGTACTAGTATTTAATTGGGAAGGAAATGATTTCATTATTGAACAATATTATGTAAACTATGATTTATCAATCCAAATAGTTGCTCCTACAGATATTAATACCATTGTTGACACAGGGATGTCAAGGTTTGGCAGGAACTAAATTTGTTTTCTTCCAAAACAGAGTGACCTAGAAAGATATTTCAAGGTTGCAGTGGTTGGTGCCTTCCTCACTGCCATCAATGTTTTATAAGTCTTGTGCTATTATAAATATAACATATAATTATATATAATATTACTACAAGTATTATAGCGCTCTCTTTTATGTAATGGATAAGATGTGGTATATGGATACGTTAGCAATATTAAACCTACCGTATGTAGCAGTTAATAAAAGCAGACATAAACTTGGTTTTGCTTATAAATGTAAAATAAGTGGAATGATAAAGAGAAATCTGCTTTGATGGTTCAAGACAAATCCAGTTTGTAGGTCACATGATGACAAGCACAGATTAGGATATATCAACTGGAAAGACTAAGAAATGATGGGGGGGGGGGGGGAATAAGGGGAGTGGGAAAGCATGTCAACTATCAAGTACATGGATCTCTGTATTTCATGACTGGTAACAGAAATACTAGCACATTAAAAATTACCAGTGAAAGAATTAGTCTTTGATCGTCAATGTCCAGAGGAGACAAGGCACTCGGAGTACGGTATCAATGATAATCATTGAAAGATTCCAACTCTCTGTTTTCTTCATTTAAACGTTAATATTTTGTAATATAATTATAAGGGAGATGAAGTTCAGACATGGTGCTAAAGTGGATTTGAAGTATGGGGTGCCTGATGTCTTGATGAAATGTCAGTCAAATACTAGTAGACATTTCACAAAGAAATGAATGTATTATAAACCATACACAGTAGCATGATTTATGCAAAACTTCCATGATTTTTTTTAGGATGACATTTTTGTGTGTCCAGAATTGGAAAACATCATTTAATAAGTTGACAGTAACTACCGGTAGTTACCATTAGAATGATCATCTCAAATGAAAATAATGCAGTCAATTTTTATGTAGGTCCTACCGGGTATACACAATGTTCCTCTACATGTTGTAATTTTGTATGAATAAAGGGGAGTAAAGTGTGTACATAGATTAACTGGTGCCTTCTGAATTGTCTAATTCCCTGTATAGCTTTGATACTTGAACCATGTGGTTTCTATAGCTAGGTGATGAGTTGAATAAAGGAGAAGGAAAAAAAGATTCATGAATGCAACACATTTTATGCAATAATGTGAGTTTGTAATTGATGCACATTTTATGTTCTTTGGTCCTGTACATGCATAATTATGTAATAAAGTATGTCTGCACTCTGTGCACAAGACACCAAGCAAGCCTGTTTGAATGCTTGATTTGTGGAGGAATATTTGTCTGAGAGTGTGGGATGGGTGCAACAGCACTGTTCATTTATAAAAATTGGACTTTAAACTTGTATGACATTAAAATAACGTTATGTGAAACTGCATAGAATGGCAATTATATATTACAAAAAATGATAACAAAAAATAATGAAATAACTCCAGCCCCAGCCACCACTACTATCCCCACACCCCGATAACTTTGTCTTGATAAAAGTCTAGTTTACACATATTTGGGCATTCTTTCATGATAAAGGTATGTTAAAAATATACTGATGAAAAAAACAATGTATATATAAATACTTATATGTTTGGATTCTGTTTTCTTCTTCATATGCATGTAACCTTTGATAAGATATATGCAAGCATCAGACTTGGCATTTGTAATAAAATATACTTCTTTGATGTCAAAGCTACATTTTGTGTGAGAACAAGTGAACTTGTGTGGCGGAACAAGTGAACGTTAACTGGAAAGTATATCGACTAGTGACCAATCAACCTTCATTTGGTGGATATTGTGACGGAATGTTACAGTGTTTAACCTGAAGAGGGCGACATTTTGGTCAGATTGATATAAGTGATTTGATAACGCTGCGAACGGGCAGTCCGTGTTTTGTATTGATGCAGTAAGGAATGCAGTAAAGTAAGCTGAAAGATCAAACATCATTGTAAGTTGTCGTTATTTGTCTCGGATATTACTTTGATTGAAGTGATTGATGAATGCATGATTGAGATCCTCGTTGAATAGTTGTGAGTTGTGAGAGTCGACTGTCTGGGAGAGTTGACTGATTTATAAGACGAGACCTGGTTCGTGTCGTTCGGAATTGCTACCAAGTTCATGGAACCAGATCTCGTCACACTGGTGGCAGCGGCGGGACAACTAAAACAGCGTGGGTCATGCTTCCAGCGTGAAACTACATACTAAGACACGGACTCAAAACACGCCACCTTTTTAGGTGCTAACGTGAGCTGCGAACTATCGAGAAGTGCAGCCAGGTGAGGTGCCAAGTTGAGGTGCCAAGTTGAGGTGCAAGTTGAGGTGCCAAGTTGAGGTGCCAGGTGAGGTGCCAAGTTGAGGTGCCAAGTTGAGGTGCAAGGTGAGGTGCCAAGTTGAGGTGCCAAGTTGAGGTGCCAAGTTGAGGTGCCAGGTGAGGTGCCAAGTTGAGGTGCCAGGTGAGGTGCCAAGTTGAGGTGCCAAGTTGAGGTGTCAGTTGAGGTGCCAATTGAGGTTCTACTTGAGGTGGAAGTTCTTTGTGCTACAGCTCTTAATAAATTCACCATGGATAAAAAGGAGCATCAAAGGTCCTCAGTTAATGAATGTGACCTAACTCAATTGAACACAGAGCTGGAACGTCTACGAATGGAGAATCAAATTTTACAGTTGGAACGTGACAATGCACGGTCAAAAATTAATCTGATAGAAGCAAGACAACAGGGATTGTCTTCACAAAGTACCGTCAAGCTTGGACAGTTCGAAGAACCATCTGTGAGAAGGAGAGTAGATACGGACATAGTTTTCAATGGACCGTACACTGAGAGAAACAAGGGTGAAAACACGCCCGAATGTGGAGAGAAGAAGGGCTTGTATCCTGAGCTATTGACCCCAGACCGGAAGGTTGGAACCGATTGTTCGACTCCTGTGCCGGATACCATGTTTTCTCAAGAGTTGGCTGGGGACATTGGGTCCCCTTTCCTTGAAGGATTCGATCCCAATTTTCCATGGGAAAAGGCCAGTGGAAGAACGAAATCGGCTCTTACGAAGAAGCCTGACAACAAGCAGGGTGATGTGGAAATAAAAGAAGAAGTTTCTAGAGATTGTTCAATAGTAACAAAACAGAGCCAAAGGCCTTGCATAACACCTGATCGGTTCAATGGACAAACATCGTGGCATCAGTACTTGAAACACTTTGAAGCATGCAAAGATATAAATGGTTGGACAGAGGAGCAGGCAAGTGCTTTTCTGACTGTAAGCCTTCAAGGTGAAGCACTCCGTCTGTTGGACCATCAGCACGATCGCAAACTTACGTATAGGGGACTGACCAAGCTCCTAGAGCAGCGATTTGGCCCAAGTCAACAGGCAGAAAATTTTCTGTTTGAATTGCGTCATCGCCGTCAAGGCCAAACAGAAACACTGAAGGAACTTGGCCAAGTCATATGTGAATTGGCAATCAAAGCCTACCCAGACATTCCAGAGGTTGGGAGAAAAAGGCTCGAGAAGAACCATTTTATTGAGGCAATAGAAGACCGGACTATCCGAGAAGGAGTGCACAGAGCTAGGCCAAAGGACATTGACGAAGCTATTCGTGCGGCCATAGAGACAGAGAACTATGAAAGAATCGAAGAAGAACGAAGATCGGAGAGACGTCCGCACAAATTGGTGAGGGGTTCAGAAAAGGAATCTGAGCAACTCATCCAGAAATTGGAGCATTTGTGTGAAAGGCAGGCAACACAATTCGAGACAATGACAAGGCTCATGAATGAAAGATTTCTTTCTTCTGAGAGAGTTCCCAAACCACCAACTCCTGGAAATTCCGGCAAGAAATGGCGGAGAAAAGAAGATTTGATATGCTTCAACTGCAACGAAAATGGACATTTCGCAAGGGAATGTCCTCTTCCTGAAAAGGAGAGGTCGGGAAACGACGAACAGCTGACCGGAAGGTCCACGGGAAGGCTGTAAGAAGTAACGGACCTAGTCGACTTGATGATGGAAGGATTGTAACACTTACACCTAACGAAGAACCCAAGCAAGGCTTATTTGTAGAGGGTACCATCAGGTCTATAAAATGTAGACTCCTCATCGATACAGGTTCAACTGACACAATTGTTAGAACTGACATGTACTACAGTATTGCGAAAGAGCAGAGACCGGTTCTTGAACAAGACAACGTCAGGGTTCAGCAGGTAGATGGAACGCCACTTGATGTGCTAGGAGTTGCCTGGACAGAAGTCAAAGTTGGAAAGACAATCTTTCCATTAAAGGTCATCTTTGCTAATATTAGGAACCAGGTAATACTTGGAATGGACTTTTTGATTCCAACCGCTGGGGTTCTAGACTTCTTCCGGCTGGAACTCATCTTGAACGGGGAACACATTCGATGCCTTAACCAGATAGGGAGATCATTCCTAAGAAGGATTTTAGTGAAAGAAACTATTGAGGTGCAACCAGGTCAAGAAACGCTCGCGCAAGGTGAGATCGCCAACTGTGTGGACGAGATGACGGGTACTGCCATAATCGAACCAGTTGCAGGCGGAGGCGAATTGGCTCGCCATGGGCTGGTGTTGGCAAGGTCCCTTGTCACTGCAGAGGCAGATGTTTTGCCACTGAGGTTGTTTAACCCGGGGAACAACAAGATAACACTTCGCCGGGGAACAATGGTCGGGATGATCTCACCAGCGGAAGTGCATGAAAGTGGGGAAAGGACAGAGAATAGTGGAAACGATGAAGTTCCTTCATACCTACAAGACTTGTTGCAACGAAGCCTGAGCAACATCGATCCGAAATATCACCAAGCTATCAAACAGTGCCTCGTGGATTTTCAAGATGTATTTTCTTCTGGAAGTCACGATTTGGGCCGGACCAATGCTGTCAGACACCACATCGAAACCGGCAATTCAAGACCTATAAGACAACGCCTTCGACGTCACCCTATCGTCAATCAGCAAGAGATTGATCGCCAAGTCAAATCATTAGTGCAAGAAGGTCTCATCGAACCTTCCGATAGCCCCTGGGCAGCCAATGTAGTGCTTGTGACTAAGAAGGACGGTACAAAACGGTTGTGTGTAGATTACCGCGGCCTGAATGTAGCAACTGTAAAAGACGCCTACCCTGTCCCCCGAATAGATGAGACCTTGGATGCACTAGGCGGGGCCAAGTGGTTTTCAACCTTAGATCTAGCTGCAGGCTATTGGCAAGTTGCCCTTGATAATGAAGCTCAAGACAAATCATCTTTTGTGGTTCGCGGCGGCCTATACAAGTGGAAGGTAATGCCATTTGGGCTGTGTAATGCCCCCGCAACTTTCGAGAGGTTGATGGAGAAAGTGATGGCTGGTCTACAATGGGACATATTGCTCATCTATTTGGATGATGTAATAGTGTTCGGTCGGACAGTTGATGAGCAAATCGTACGACTTCGCACAACATTGGCGCGGCTCCGGGAAGCCAATTTGAAATTGAAACCATCCAAGTGCAATTTGTTTCAACAGTCGGTGAAATACCTAGGTCACATCGTGTCTTCAGAAGGAATCACAACCGACCCTGCCAAGGTCGAGACCATTCGGAATTGGCCCAATCCCACATGCAGCAAGGATGTTCGAAGCTTCTTGGGGCTTGCATCCTATTACCGCAAGTTCATTCGCGGGTTCGCATCCATCGCATCACCACTTCATGAACTGACTGAGAAGGCTAGGCGTTTCGAGTGGAATGACGAATGTCAAAGAGCTTTCGAAGAGTTGAAGGAGTGCCTTATCCAGGCTCCGATCCTAGTATGTCCCTTACCAGAGGGGGATTTCCTGCTTGACACTGATGCCAGTCAGAATGGTATAGGGGCTGTGTTGTCCCAAATTCAGGAAGGCGAGGAAAAAGTAGTCGCTTACGCAAGCAAGAAGCTATCGAGGGCTGAGAGGAACTACTGTGTGACCCGTCGCGAGCTGCTAGCAGTTGTGTTCTATTTGAAATACTTCAAGCAGTATCTCTACGGTAGGAAGCTGACCGTTAGAACAGACCACGCTTCTTTGCAGTGGCTCCTCAACTTCAAAAATCCAGAGGGCCAATTGGCACGTTGGATCGAGGTTATCGCAGCATACAAACTGACAATACACCATCGTCCAGGAAAGAAACATGTGAATGCCGACAGTCTGTCCAGAAAACCATGTTCTCAGTGTGGCCTTGTTGATGACACAAGTGACGGCGAAGACACATCTACAGAGACAGATACTCCCTCCGAGCAAGTCCAGTTCCATTGTAGGGCAATTATTGCCTTACCTGGGGTCACTCGAGAGGCCTTAAGAGAAGGCCAGTTGGAAGATGATAGTATGAGCTGGGTATTGAAGGCTAAGGAAGGAAGAAGCTGTAGACCAGATTGGGAAACAATAGCCAACTCGACAGCTGCAAAGAAAACGTACTGGGCTCAGTGGGACCAATTGGATTGCAAGCAAGGAGTACTATGCAGAAAATGGGAGACGTCGGATGGGGCATGCGTGAAATGGAAGGTTATCCTGCCACGGAAGTACCGAAAAGAATACCTAGAAGCAATCCATGGGGGTACAATAGGAGGTCATCTAGGCGTTACCAAGACATTGTCAAACGTAAAACAGAGGGTTCATTGGTCAGGCATGTCAGGAGACGTGAGGTCATTCATCCGGTCGTGTGACCTGTGCGCCAGAAGAAAATCCCCCTCAAAGAGGGCACGTGCTCGACTTCAACAGTACGAGGTGGGAGAGCCAATGGAAAGAGTAGCAATGGACCTTGTCGGGCCTTTACCCAAGACCATCCATGGGAATCAGTGGATCCTTGTAGTAGGGGATTATAAGAGCAAATGGATGGAAGCGTATGCGCTTCCGGATGCTCGAGCTACAACAGTGGCCCAAAAGTTTGTCGAAGAATTTGTGTGCCGTTTTGGTGTCCCTCGTGAACTACATACCGATCAAGGAACTAATTTTGAATCGCAGGTGTTTGCAGAGATGTGTTCCCTGTTGGGCATTCGAAAGACAAGAACAACAGCTTACAACCCGAAATCAGATGGGCTCATTGAGAGGTTCAACAAAACCCTCATCAATATCACCGCCATGCTCATCGAGCAGTCAAAGAAGTCTAGGGAATGGGATGAGTGCTTGCCATATGCAACTAGCGCATATCGCTGTACTGCACAAGAATCCACGGGAGAGTCACCCAACATGCTCATGCTCGGGAGAGAAGTGACGCTTCCAATAGACCTGACTATGGAGAATCCAAAGTATCGCTGTGATGAACCAAAAACAGACTACGCTGAAAAGCTACGCCAGAATCTACAACAAGCTCACGAACGGGCTAGCGAGTGTCTTAGGAAGAGTGCCAGGCGTCAGAAACGCAATTATGACAGGAAAGCTACCACCACTAATCTCAAGGAAGGACAGTTTGTTTGGTTATATGATCACAGCAAGAAGAAGGGGGTTTCCCCGAAATTACAGCTGCGATGGATGGGTCCTTACCTAGTGGTTACGAAGATCTCAGATGTTACGTTTCGGATTCAGCTGAGTCGCCGATCGAAAGCAAAGGTAGTACATGTAGATAGGCTCAAGCTGTACACTGGTGAAGATCTTCTTGCATGGGAGTATCGCCTTAGAGTTCCTGAGGAGGAATTTCCCTTTGCTGATTCTCCTAATCTTTCCCCTGAGGTCATACCAGAAGAGATCAGCCCTGCCAGTGATGAAACTTTGTCAGATGATCATCAACCCCAGCTTGATGAGACCCCTGCTGATGACCAACCCCAGCTTGATGAGAACTTGCCTGATGATCATCAACCCGGGTTCGATCTTCCCACTGATCTACCTCAGACTCCCGTGATTGAGAGTCGCTATCCCAGAAGAAAACGAAAACCACCAGATTTCTTTTATTAAATAAGAATTATCGACATAAATAATTATTTGTGTTTTGTTCTTCACAATTGCAGAATAATGTCTGAGGAGTGGAAGAAACCAGAGGACTTGGATGGGGACCGGCTTTACAAGTGCCGAGAATGTCTTTCCACGTTCTTGTACCACCGCAGCCTGATGCGCCATATCGGGGAGAACCATCGGGATGGATCCCGGAAGTGGAACTGCAAGACCTGCGATTATTCCTCTACCAGGCGGGGGAATTATGAAAGGCACGTGGACGGACACCGAAAGGACGAACAGCGCACGGTTTCCAGAAGAGAGTCGAGCAAAGAAAGAGAACCGGTGGGCCGGGGCGGTGAAAGGGCAAAATCCCCAGATCGACGTTGTCCGGAGACGAAGAGAGACGACAGAGACCAGCCACAGGAAAACAACACAGCCATTATAAGTGTACATCCAACTCCAGTGCCTAGTATTGATTCTTCCAGAGATGCCAGAGGCAAGCCTCTTGCCATGCTTAAGAGAGCCGCATCCCAGGATGAGGTGGTTTCGTCATCGTCATCAGCATCATCTTCGTCGGAAGAAGCTGAGAGTGGAGGAGAGGGTGCCACTGGAAATGCGCGTACAGACAGACCGGTTTTCAAGAAAGCGAGAGTTGAGAAGAGGATTACGACGACCTTTACTATTGAAGGACGCGTAGTTCGTACGAGAAAGACGAAGGAGTTCTTCGACCGCTTCATACTTGTTTAAGTTAACACTAAGTCTTACTGGTTTACTTGATCTGTTTTGATTACAACTATAGGCCTCAGTTTACAATTTGCTTAAATCAGGTAGGCCTACTAGAGGTCAGGTTTTTTGTTGTTGTTGTAACTTAAGTATTACTAGTGATCTTACGAGAAAAGTGTTTTGATATTCTTTACATTTCCAAACGTATTTTGGACATTGTTGATCAATGTCTTTGTATTTGTGATTACTTGTGTTATATAATTATATATCTATAAAAATAACAGGAAGAAGAGAAAAAGGCAAATGTGTAGCTTATTACGTTGATTTGCTTGGCCTTTCTTATAGATTGGTTAGGAAAACAAGAATTAATAGTAAAAACCGTTTTACATGTTTTTAATGCCTATATTGTTGAGCTATGTTTAAAATGTCGTTTCGGTAGGTTTAGAACGAGGACGTTCTAGTCTAAGTGGGGGGTTGTGTGACGGAATGTTACAGTGTTTAACCTGAAGAGGGCGACATTTTGGTCAGATTGATATAAGTGATTTGATAACGCTGCGAACGGGCAGTCCGTGTTTTGTATTGATGCAGTAAGGAATGCAGTAAAGTAAGCTGAAAGATCAAACATCATTGTAAGTTGTCGTTATTTGTCTCGGATATTACTTTGATTGAAGTGATTGATGAATGCATGATTGAGATCCTCGTTGAATAGTTGTGAGTTGTGAGAGTCGACTGTCTGGGAGAGTTGACTGATTTATAAGACGAGACCTGGTTCGTGTCGTTCGGAATTGCTACCAAGTTCATGGAACCAGATCTCGTCACAATATACTATAGCCTCCATAGCCTCATGACCAGGGGGTGGGAAGTTTGAGTTGAAAAGCAAAGAGAAGATAAAGGGAGGAGTCAACAGAATTGTGTTCTGCAAAATTAAAATGCTAAAAACACAAATAGTGTTGGCTTGTCATGAATGCCAGAGAAGAGGATAGGGTGTTAAAAGTAGATTAAGAAGTGAATAATAGAATACTAGTACCAAAGAAGATTCGCTTCAGGTTGTTGCATGCCAGTGCCCGAATAAAGGAAATGATTATGGTTACATATAGCGCTTAGGTTTCAAGTTTGATTTTACCCAAAACATTTTCTGAATGTTCATAAAAGTGTACTGTAATCTGTATTTCAGGGTAGCAAAATGAGCTGATTGGTTTGTCACTTAGTTTCGTGTATTTGTTTATAATCTTTAGTAGATCTAGACAAAGTTTGTTTTTTTCTTTACAAATTAGCCTACTTTACATCCGGTCTCATTTTAAAACGACATGAAATTGGAAGATCTTTTTTTTGCTAGCTGTGTAACATTTAGAATAATCATGAAAGAATATGCAGAATCCTTTTCTATTTTCAGTCCCTTCTAAGCTATTATTTTCTCTCTAGTTCTGATTCGGAATTCTAAGCAGAACGAAAGCTGTCATTTAATTCGATAATATGAGACCCGCGCAAGGCTATCTGCAGCCAGACTCGACATCGACAGTACATGTTATACAGGCACACCAAAACTCTTTACTCGGAGAGAAACTGAAGTCTGAACTTGGATAAAGACAAAACGAATGCACGGTAGGTGTGGTATCTTTCATTTTAAATTGACTGATATTTCTGTATCTCAGCTACCTATCGTTCTGTGAAAATTCTTTTTAATCCCTATTTATAGCTCTGACAAACCCCGTGACAAACACGCCCATAATTTCTGCATGAAACCGCGATGTCAACCGATGTCCTGCTGCTAGCTGAGCCTAACTCCAGGGAGCTCCGCCGCCAAAGGAGTGGGCGGCGGAGCTCCCTGGAGTTCGCTTGACCCTTGAGATGCGGCACAGCTCAGGCTATTTCAGCTTGGCTTGCTCGCCCATATCATCCCGGCTCGCGCGCCATGCCGGGCGCTTGGCAGGGAATTGGCGCTCCCGATCCCGCTCCCTTTCTCTCAACTATTCCCCACATTTCTTTCAATCATTCTGTTGTCTTATTTGTTTGGTTGGTTGGTTGGTTCGATCTCAGACTTTGACTCATAACTCCGGCGTGGAGATTTAATAAAACATAGACTCTACCAAAAATCAACTAGGTCTAGATCTAGACCCCTAATTAATCCTAAATCTTCATCAATTGTTCAAATAATAATGGTTATGAATAGTTCTTATGTTTCTGGGGCTAATGTATCCAGACTTTGACCTGTAACTCCGGCGTCAAGATACCTGACTAAAACATAACGGTACCCAAAAATCAACTAAATCTTCATCAATTGTTCAAATAATGGTCATGATTTAAAAGTCGTTTTGTTTCTTACCCATTTCGTGTCAATTTTAAAAATCTTTTTTGGAGTATTTTTCCTGAAAACAAAGACATTATGATTGATATACACTCTCTCACAGGTTTTACGGCAACCGCTGCACAACTACAATTGCATGTACATGTACCATACTGACGAAGGGGCGCGGGCGTGAAGTTAGCGACTGTTATCTTACATCCTCATCAAATTCAATTCACATTACTTGCCTGCTATTAAAGACCTCTTTTTCTTATTTCCCTTGAATGGTCTTTAAACCTACATTATAATACAGGTGTTACTTCAAATTCTGTATCCTTTCTTGGAAGTGAGATATCATGAAGAGACGCAAGGAGCCAGATTACAGCCATGGTGATGGAGATCAGAGGAACAAACTATTCTTCATGACTGAACATGCAGCCAGCAAAAGAAGAAGGAAACTGTTTTCGGTTTGAGTGGTAATTATTTAGTGTACTTCGTGAGGATAATGTGGTGGTTGTGGTGTGGTTGGTGTTTGTGGTTGAGGTAACTAAAATCAGGGTTTTAGTGGTGGCAGTTGGGAACTTGGGATGAAAAGCAAAGTGTTATTTATTATAGGTTTCAACAGGATCACCTCACACTTCCGTATACTGATGCTGATGCTGATGCTGATGCTGAATAGATACTGATGATGATGCTTTCATTTAATTTGTAGCGGATTGTCAAAAGAGATAATATCAGTATTTGATCAGCTAATAACGCATCCCTTGAATTGATCTATGCTTTGGTTATCATTCACTATGCATTTCTGCAACCGGGCGAATTTGTGTCCAACAAACACGCACACAGAAAAGGGACAAAAGGGATGTGTGGCATTTTTATTTATAGCTAATTAGGTCCAAACTATCAATTCCTCATGAAATGCGAAGACATTTGCAGAAGAATTCTTTTCAGAGCATATGATGTTTTTCCAACTGATAATCAAGCAATGAGAAAGCTTCTAAACTATTTTTCATGTTAATTAGAAGTTTAGAACACATGACCAAACTTCTCTTTAAATCTGTACTTCAGCACATCCGACAAACCAAATGTTGTACACGTATATTTAGCAAACATTTTCATGACATGTTCTCTGCAGAACTTTACATACATAATAAGTACATGACATATGTAATCTTTTTCAAAATGGATATCTGAAACTTTTCTTCAATTATCAATTTCCCTGCATTTTCAGCAGATGGTCAGAGAAAGAACCTGATCATTGATCAAGTCAGTGGTGTTGTCAATTCATAGAGGATCAATCTATACTCCGCTACTCTGTATGTCAGCAAGATTTGCGGTGCGACAGAGAATTGGCTGGTCACGACACCATCGAGGATCAAGAATATCTAGTGGTGCATGGTCTTCATTCTGCAAGGTAAGGTATGTTTTCTAGAACCAGCAACAATTTTTTTCCTTCTTTTTTGCCCCCCGAAATTTGAAAATCGTGCCGACCGATATTTCGCTCAGTGGTTGGAGGGGGGGGGGGGGGTATTAATTTTGTTTAGCAAAAAAATTAACCCCCAAAACACCCCCCCCCCCCCTGCGTATGCGCCTGCATACTATCATATAATAAGGGCAACAAAAGTTTCAGTGAGAAAGCATGTGCTACTAGATCAGCTGTGCACTATACAAGGTTTCCCCTTCCGTTAATAAGAAGAATTTACTGTACTGTGCTCAGTCTAAAACTAAATGCATGGAATATTAAAAGAGAGATTATGAAAATCTAAACTGACAAAAGAAAAAAGAAAATTAAACCCCCAATGCTGAGCTCTCAGTCTCAACCGTTTAAACTCTGGAGATTACCATCAGGAAATTTCTGTATGACAACGATTTAATGATCATGCATTATTAGGCTTGACAATTAGGACCTTTAATAAATCTCCTTTCTCTGGGTTTGTCTATGAATGTGTCACTTGACTGTGAAAGTGTGTATCACGCAGCGTGCAGACACAATGCATGCTGTACCATAAATATGCATTAAATGTAATGTCCCTATTACAATAGGAGTAGACAGTGGTTGACACTTGCATGTATGATTCAATGGGCCTGGCCAGCGTGAGTGGCACGTGTGGGTTGTTTGCGGTTTGCATCACGCTAATAGGATATGACTGCCTGATTGTTCGGTAAGCAGGTCAATTCAATGAGCAAAGATCAAATATTAGGAAATAATATATGTCTTAAAGGGATAGACTCGTAGTAATTATTTTGACTTTCAAACATTTATACTCTCTTATTGTTTGCTTGATTTTTCTTTAGAACTTTCATCCGTTGAATTATTTCGATACTGTGTAGTTTGTGCTATCTTATAAGCATCCTGTTGTTAAAATCTTTTACAGAATTTGGCTTGTATTGTGTGATATATATGATATGATGTACTGAATTGAAAAATAGAGAAAATTTCCACCAAATGTGAAACACAATTGTGAATAAATTCTTGTCAATAAGGTAAGAGGACAATTATAAATCAAATTTGGGAAACAAACACTGGTGCTTCAATTTATATATTGTAATCCTTGCTTATTCTGACATGTGTATGAATTTTGAGTAGTGTTAAGTAGGTACATAACTGTTGCTGCTCTCAAGCAAGTGGGGAAAATAACCCAATTTGACTAAATGCTGTAGTTGTCGATATCATTGTTAATTTAGATTTTATGCAGTCTACTGTATAAGTCTAATAGTTGTTGATTAGCCGACTTCAAATTCTAAAATACTTATAACTATTTATAAATTTAAATATAAATATATGAAATGTCTATCAATTAATGTCTATTGTTTCAAACCCCCTCCCCTCACTCCTTCCCGGCCGCTAACTTACATTATATTTCCTATGAACTATCTATACCTGCGCATGTGCACATAGTCATTTTCCTTGACCTCATAAATATATGGTTTATTTTGTCAAGACTAGGCAGTATTGTAGCTATATACATTGTATGAGAAAATGTGCAGCGAAGGTGAGCGAGCAACCAATATACTATAATATCAACAAAAGAAAACGGGTTCAAAAATCGCCCCACACAGATTCGAAGTTTTGAGTCTCAAGCGCAGCACTCTTTCCGATCACGCCACACCGAAAACTGCAATGAATCTATTTGCCTCACTTGACCCAGGGTAGGTGATGTGTACCTGGTATGAATATTCCACAAAACTCTATTGTTGCTGATAACACTGGCCAGAACTAAAGCCAGGCCAAACATTTCCTAAGCTCCATTGAAGCGAGATGTTGTACCATTAAGGCCTTTTCGACTGTGTCAAAGACAAAGCCTTTCTCGTGTTCACTTGGGTAGTTGACACTCCTTGTTCACTTCCCTTTGAAACCGATTCGATTTCAGTCAAAGCCCGCTCGCCACACTATAGTGAACATGATGACGTCATGTGCAAGGGTTTCTCATACAAATTTCCAGTGCGACCAACACTTTGAATGAGCTCAAATCATGTGCCGGCAACCCAAGCTATGTACCATCACTATATAGAGAATGTACGTTTCATTTTATTAGGTGGTCTGTCAACGACAGATCACCTATTGATTTCGCTAGAATTTTCTTTCTTTCTTTCTTTCTTTCTTTCTTTATTTTTATTTCTTCCGTACACTTTTTTGTGCACACGTTTACTCGACATCAACAAGGTCAATTTCCTTCGAAATTTCTGTCAGTCATCAGGTCCTATAATATCAAGTTCCTAAAACCTTTTTCAAGTTCATGGGGTCATCGTGACGTCATCCAGGCGCCATTTTGTAAAAATCAGGTCATTATCATATCTCAATAACGAGTCATCAAAAATCAACCATATTTGGTATACATCAACTTCAAGTCAAAGGTCAACTAAAAATGCGCGCATCAAAATTTTAAAATGCTCAAATTCATTCCAAATTTTTTTTGCACACGTTTCAGGCCATTGTAAGCATTTTCAAAATTTGCGCGCGAGCACTTATATTTTTGCGCGTTTCCGCGCGTAACCGCGCGTACTAACATTTTGCAACATGGAATTGCCAAATTTTCACTTTTATATTTATTACATTTTTCCAAGCATTTTGATACCTTGTTCACCTTTTTTTGACCAGTAATAACGCAATGAGCGTCCGTCAAAGTTTACAGTACGCGCGGATCTGCGCTATCTGTATCCACAATACATGTGCAAAAACATGCCTATACAAAATTCATTGTAACTCTTCAGAATGGATGGTTACCCCCCATTTTTCTTAAATATTTAGATAGAATATGAGTCGGAGATATGAATTCATGTCTCATTTGACCCTCTATTAACTCATGACGTCATCATAATGGCCTCCGAACTCAAAATTTCAATTTTCATATTATGACGTCAGCAGATTTTTGGAAAATTGATTGTATCTCTGTAAATATTGATCAATTTTCTTTCAAATTTTGATATGTTCTACCTGAGAATATTTTCTACAAATGCAGTCACCACGATATTTCATTTTGACAATGGTATCATGGCGTATTTTTGCGATTAAAGGAGGCATGTCAATTTTTTACATTTTGCGTGTATTCTCTATGGGACATGACTTTTTCTCAAAACTGGATTCTACATTCTCGTCTTTCGCGAGCAATATCTCCGTCGTTTTATCTTTGTTTACGCTGAGCTTTAAGTATGTGTTAGCTGAGACAATAAGCTATCACAAGTGTGCCCTTTATTTTTCGATCAGATGCCGGGATCATGCTCATATTTCACTTACAAAGTGGGATTTGAGAATTGCATTTTCCGTTTACGCGCACGTTTGTGTTCGTAATGGTCGTACGCAACCTAAAATCTCCTTTTTTTTTGTCTATCATAGTATTGCCCATTTTATTCCGAACAATTTGATACCATGTTTATCTCTTTATAATCATTAATAACGAAATGAGCGTCCGTTCAAGGTAAATTCCGTTCGAACACTCAATTAACTCATGACGTATTTATGATGGCCTCCGTTCAAGGTAAATGTCTGTGCGTGCGAGCTCTTGTAATACATAGCATATATGGGCAAAAACATGCCTATACAAAATCCATTGTAGCTCTTTAGGATGCAAAATGACCCCAATTTTTTTTTCATATCTTGATAAAGTATGAGTCGGAAATATGATTTCATGTCTCATTTGACCCTCAATTAACTCATGACATCATCATAATGGCCCTCCGAACTCAAAATTTCAATTTGCATATTATGACGTCATCATATTTTTGGAAAATTGATTGTATCTCTGTAAATATTGATCGATTTCATCCAAATTTTGATATGTTTTAGCTGAGACAATTTTCTACAGATGCAGTATCCACAAATTTTCATTTTGATGAAAATATCATGGCTTTTTTTTGCGATTAAAGGAGGCATGTCAATTTTTTACATTTTGCGTGTATTCTCTATGGGACATGACTTTTTCTGAAAAATGGATTCTACATTTCCGTCTTTCACGAGCAATATCTCCGTCGTCTTAGCTTCGTTTTCGCTGAGCATCGAGTATGTTGTAGCTGAGACAATAAGCTATCACAAATGTGACATTTATTTCTCGATCAGATGCCGGGATCATGCTCATATTTCACTTGCAAAGTGGGATTTGAGAATTCCATTTTCCGTTTACGTGTGATCTCTATGGGAAATGTTTTGGTATATCGGTAACGCACTTGACTTCCGACCTCGAGGTCCCTGGTTCGAGTCCGGGTGTCTCCAACAATTTGTTTTCTTCACTTTTTTTTCTTTTTGACCTTTCACTGTACCATCTCCTTTGAATATTCAAACACGTACAATCGCAAATAATGTAATAAACAACCATATTTACTTTATTATCCCCTATTATCACTTGATCCATTACTTTTTGCGTGTAGTCCCTATGGGAGATGACTTTTTCTCAAATCTGGATTCTACATTCCTCTCTTTTACGAGCAATATCGCCGTTATTTAAGCTTGGTTTTTGTTGATTTTGGAGTATGTTGTAGCTGAGACTATATGCTATCTAAAAGTGTCCCCTCATTTTTTTCAATCAGATGTCATCATGGTCTGTTGATGATGATCATCAACATCATCATGATGATGATCATCATCATCATCGTCATCACCATTACTATCAAGATCATCAGTATCATGATCATCATCATGATCATCATTGTTTACATGTCTGTATAACTTGAAGGCAGACCACCTTATTCGTCCTCGTGACGAATTAAATTCTAGTTTTCTTTGTCACAGCCGACGGAGCAGACTTTTTCCATGCATGGGTTGCACCGAAGCACACCTGCTATAATTATAATTATTGTGCATGTATGATTTACATCAATAAATCAACGTATCTACCTATTCTACTTTGCTATGTTGCACCTCAACATTGCATCACCGAAACTTAAAACACATCGCCAAATTGCTCATACCCCCCCGCCCAATAGCGCCCTCCGTGACCCTTGCGTCCGAGCGCTGCCGACGTAACCTCTTCCTCTTATCTCTTCACATCCGAACGGATAAGTTACACTAAAAATCGCTCCCAAAAGTTGAAGAGTTTTTCCTCTTTAGTCGCTTTTTGGTTCGCATTTTCGCCTTTTATAATTATTCTCTACGATTTCCTTTTTCGTTAGAGAGTAGTTTCACTCCGTGAATTTATTTATTTATCAGTATTCTAGAACGTTTTCTTACCGACAACTGTTCTTTTCCTCTTTCGCGTTTTCCCGTCCTCACTCCGAGTCTCGGGTGCGTGCGGGGTAGTCGGTGGGGTGTTTCAGTCACTGGTAGTTTATTTAATTCTTTTTGATAATTGCTCATACCCTTTGTTTAATCTTTCTTTCCCGCAGGTTTAATATGTCTCGCAGTTCTAATTTTCTCTTAGCAGGTTTCTCTAAGAAGAAATCGAATTCTGTCGCGAGAAAGAAGACGAAGGATTCTAGCGAGTCTTCGTTAGTTACGCCCCTCGGGAGCGGTGGTGACACCGCAAACCCCGGGGATGCAAATGTCAGCGGACATTTATGCGGGCAAGGCAAGCCCATGAGAATGGTCGAGGGGGCGATGTTATCTCCCCTCGGGACGGTTCCCGGAAACCCAGAGGTATCAACTCTGGGTGGAACGGGCCTTAGTTCTGCACCGCCATCAATTGTTCCGTCAGGTCTTTTGTTTGGTCGGTGCACAAATCCATCGACGGATATTCGGGTTGCTACCGTGGATCCGGACTTGAACCGGTCACCGACCGGTTCTTCTGTTCCTTTGTCGGCTTTGCCGGTTCCGAATTTCGGTCCGGATACCCGTGCAGCCGAGTCGGATCCTGGTGCTTCAACTAACCGCGCCTCTCCGTCGGTGCGTGTTCCGTTTTCCCGATTCGGTTTGCGTGGAGCTCCTACCGTCGGGCTTTTATCGGATACCCGTCCCGTTTCTTCATCGGCTGTTTCCGTTACCGCTACTTCTCGTAAGAGGCGGGGTATCCGGGACGCTGTGGCCGGTTCTTCCTCGGATTTTGTTTATCCGTCGAAGAAACCGCGCTCTGATGTTACGGAACCGTTTGCGGCTCCTCGGGGTCCGCCTTTGGTGGCTACTCTCCCTCCGTCAGTGCCTCCACCCCCGCCAGAATTTTCGGATTGGATGCGGGCTTTTGCTGACGCGTTATGCTCTTCGATGCCCGAATCGGCTCCTCCGGTTCTTCCTACTTCAGTTTCGGATCCGATCGCGGTTGATTTAATTTCGGAGCTTTCCGAAGATGCATCGATCTCTCCTGAGCAGTCGCCGGTGCGGGTTTCGAGTTGTCGTATTCCGCCGGGGTCCTCTCTTTTTGCTTCTCCGCCTCACGCATCGTTGGGCGCTCCGATAGGCGGGGATCGTCCCTGTTTATCTGGTCAAGATGGGGGGGCTCGGTTGATCGTTGGGACACTGGTTCCATCGCTCAGTCGGCTGGTTCAGCTGCGGGGGATGATGCGTCTACTCCGTTTGTGTCTCTGGCGGCGGAATCGTTAGCCTTGTTTCACAAATATGTGCCCGATTCTTGTGTCGTCCCGGAGTTATCGTCGGGGCGGCGGGGCTTCCTGTCTTCTAAATCGGACTCTTCAGCAGTTCAGGGACTGTTTCTTCCTGATCTACACAAAGAAGAATTTGTGAACGCCGCAAAAGACTTGTCGTCATCGTTTGGGGAAGAAGTTTGGGACTCGTGGTCCTTTTGATAAAAGTGAACTTGCTGTTTGATCTTTCTTCATTGACTGCTTCTGGTCTCCGGATGTCCGTTGTTATGGACATGCTGGTGGAGCTTTTGGCTAGTGCGGACGATCTCCATATCACTGTTGAGGATCGTTCGATCTTGGTGCAGGTCATGAGAGAGGTATCGGGTATTCTTTTCTCACAGCTTGCGGTGGCTTCGCATTCCATCGAGAAGCATCGTCGGGAGGCTGTGCTCACTAGTTTGGGCATTCGACCACGCCAAATTCCAGGACTGCTTCCGCAGATTCCAGTGGCCAGCCCCCACCTTTGTGGAGATAGTTTCACTACTCTACTGCAAGCCGAGATTGATGGTGAGAAGCAGGCTCGAGACCTGTCTGTTGCTTTTCGCGATGTCCAAAAGCCGGTTCCTTCCTCCAGACCTCGTAAGAAAAGTTCGAAGAGTTTGGGTTCTTCTCGTAAGAACGTCGGCCAGTCTAAGGGCCGCCCTCAGGACTGGTACCCGGTCGAGGAGGAATACCGGGATCGTGGTCGTCCTTCGTCTCGAGATTCGTCTTACCGTGATTCTTCTTACCGTGGTGCGTCGTCTCGTGGTTCGACTTCTAGGGGTAGGTCGTCCAGGGGTAGTCGCGGGGGATATTCATCTTCCCGGACTCCCTTTCGTGGAGGTGGGAAGTCATTCTCTAGATGATGGCTTCCCCCGAGTGCTTGGGTCTCAGGTCGGCGGGCGGCTCCGGAGATTTCTCCCGGCGTGGGAGAAGATCACCAGCGACGCGTTTGTTCTGTCGGTGGTGCGAGAAGGGTTCTTCATCGATATTGTGGAACCTCTTCCGAATGGCGTCCTCCGGAGCCGCTCTCCGATCATGTCCCCTCTTTTTCAGGGTCACATTTCCTCCGAAATCGTGTCTCTGTTAGAGAAGGGGGCAATAGAAGAAGTAGACGATCACCCGTGTCTTTGTTTGTCGCCGGTGTTCGTGATTCCCAAGCGCTCGGGTTCTTTAAGAATGATTCTCAACATGAAGCGGATCAACCTTCATCTGGGAAAGGTTCATTTCCGAATGGATCATCTGGCAACCATCCTTCCGTCTTTGAATCCAGCAGACGTCGCGGTCTCTTTGGATCTTCGCGACGCTTATTTTCATATACCGATACATCCGCGGTCGCGGGATCTTCTGGGGTTTCCTTCCTGGGCAAATTCTACCGATACAGAGCGCTCCCGTTCGGTTTGCGCCCTGCTCCTCGGATTTTCACGAGAGTCGTGGCGTCGGTCATGGCGTTTCTGAGAAGACGGGGTCTTCGTCTTTTCGCTTATCTGGACGACTGGTTTTTGGTCGCAAAGTCGGAGGCTCTGCTGTTGGATCATACATGTGCAGATTCTGATCAGCACGACTCAAGATCTCGGATTTCTCATAAATTGGGAGAAATCGGAGTTCGCCCCGACTCGCACGCCGTCTTACCTAGGTGCTCAGCTGGACATTTGTCATCAGCTGGCTCGTCCCAGTCTCGACAGGGTCGAGACGATAGTCAGGACGGCTCGTTCTCTGAGATGTGCACGTCGGGTGAAAGCCGAGCGTTGGCTTCAGTGGCTAGGGTATCTCTCCAGTCTAGTCGACATTCTTCCAGATTGTCGACTATTGATGAGACCCTTCCAACTCTTTCTGTTGGAGTTTTATCAGCCGAGCGTGAGTTCTCTTTTGACGTGGATCCCCCTGTCGTCCAGAATCAAGGGTCTTCTAGGTCCTTGGCTTCGTCGTTCCTTCCTCCTTCAGGGCAAACGCTTCCGAGTTCCTCTCCCTTCCGTGACCGTCACCATGGACGCGTCGCTGTTGGGTTGGGGAGGTCATTGCCAGGGGTCAATGATTTCAGGAGACTGGAGTCATCTGGACTTTCTGCCCCACATCAATGTGTTGGAACTCATGGGAGTGTTTGCTTCGCTTCGTCACTTCCGTGCTCGTCTGGTGGGTCGCTCGGTTCTGATACTTACGGACAACGTGTCGGTGATGGCGTGGTTTCAGGATCTCCTGACCCTCCTGGTGGGGACTCCGTGGTAGTTGCCATGTCATCCGGATCTGGTGTCGCAACCTCTGTCCGGTATTCTACACCAGCGGCCGGAAATCCTCCATCTGACCGCTTGGCCGTTATCGGGGAGAGGGCTCGTTCGTCAGGTTTCTCCGAACGTGCTGCACAATTTCTAGTCCAGAGTAGACGAGAGTCGACCAGGACGGTTTACAACTCCAGGTTAGATGCTTTTCACACTTGGTGTGAGGAGGTGGGCGTCGCCCCTAGAGAGGCGTCTTTACCTTCTATTGCTGACTTTCTGATCTCTTTGTATGACAAGGGAAGAGCTCTGTCGACGATTCGTGGCTATCGGTCAGCTATAGCTGCAGTTCATTCGGGGTTTGTCGATGGTGCTTCGGTTTCCTCTGCTCCTCAGCTAGCGGCTCTTTTGAAGTCTTTTTCCCTTAAGAGACCCTTCTTCAGACCTCTGACGCCAGCGTGGAGTTTACCCAAGGTTTTGGAAGCTTTAGCACGCCCTCCCTTCGAACCGCTGTGTTCTGCGACGCTTCTGCATAATACGATCAAGACGGTTTTTCTCATGGCAATCGCTTCTGGTCAGCGTAGGAGCTCACTTCATGCCCTTTCAGTTGCCCCTGGGCATATCCGCTGGGAAGGACGTGGGGTTCGTTTGATTCCCAAGGCTTCTTTTATTGCTAAGAATCAATCTGACACGTCGGGTTCAGTGGAAGTGGTGCTCCATCCCTTGTCGGATTTGTCTTCGGTCTCCGGGGACAAGCTGTGGTGTCCCGTTCGCGCCCTCAAATGGTATCTTCACAAGACGAAGCCTTTTCGCAAGTCGGATCAGCTCTTTCTGGTTTCTCGAGAGCCACATTCGGCGGCATCTCGGGATACGATCTCCAGGTGGTTAGTCCTGGCTATCAAGGCTGCGGGCCCTGAGGCCTTGACGCCTGGCAGGGCTCCTCGTGCTCATGATACTCGCAGTGTCAGTACGTCTTGGGCTCTTTTCAACGGAGTTTCAGTTCGAGATATCTGTAAGGCAGCTTTTTGGAAGTCTCCAAGTTCTTTTACTGCTTTTTACCTCAAAGATGTGCCCGCGGGCGAACGAGCCTTCGCGGTCGCTTCTCTGAAGGCGGCTTCGTCGTCTATTTCTCATTAAATTGATAAGTTTGCTTGGTTTTTACCACCCGGCATTAATCTGTGCTGGTCTATAGCAAAGTAGAATAGGTAGATACGTTGATTTATTGATGTAAATCATGAAAATCATTACTGATTTTATTATTTACGATATAAATCTACGTATCTACCTATTTTCCCTCCCTCCATCCCCAGCGCCTTTACCAAGGTGTGTTCTAGGGAACTTGTGATAAGAGGAAGAGGTTACGTTGGCAGCGCTCGGACGCAAGGGTCACGGAGGGCGCTATTGGGCGGGGGGGTATGAGCAATTTGGCGATGTGTTTTAAGTTTCGGTGATGCAATGTTGAGGTGCAACATAGCAAAGTAGAATAGGTAGATACGTAGATTTATATCGTAAATAATAAAATCAGTAATGATTTTCATGATTGAAGTTTCCCCCAATTTTTCGTAGTACGAATGAGACGATAAATGAAACCCCAAGAGACGTGTGTTAACGTAACCGGTGCTTTATTCATTAACCGTTGATTCTCGGTGTTCATGCACGCAGAAACAAAAAAACCTGTCAATTGGCAGAATAATCAAACGAAACACATCTTAGTTTTTCAAACAATTACAAATGTCATCTTCACAAATACACGATTATCTTAATGAAAATAAAACAAAGTAATTTAACTAAACAGAGACATTGTTATCCTCTTGATTAAATATCATATAAAGTAATTACCGTTACAAATTTATCTCCAAATCAAATAAGTTTCATCTTGATTCTCTTGTTTAATCACTGAAATCAAATATTATAGTCATTTACTTGAATGACATAATTAAATCTAAACATCAAATCAGCTGTAAGAATCTCAAATAGTAATATAAATCTAGCAATCAGAACTTATACTTGTATCAAACAAACAAGAAATACATACATTAATCGGTAAGTATTTACAATACGCTGGAACAATCTACCAAATTGTCCCATAACATCAGTATATAATCACATTTATCGGTAATGTAAACTGTTAAACACACTGCAATATTGGACTGAGTAAAGTTACACAAAGTCTGTTACAATATTTATTAACAGAATGTCATCAAAACGTACCCAAAATCTATAGCAATAAACTTCTGGAGCTCTTAACTACAGTGAAGAAGGAAGCGAAGGGAAGAAGGAAGACATCAAGAGCATGCACCAATCTCAACTTCAAATACTCATAACCTTTCCACTTTTAATCAGAACTCACCCACCTCTTCCCTAGTCCCACTCCCCCTCACTCCTCCGCCTCTACCAAAACCAACCTCTTGTTGTTGTTAATTTAAAATTTGTTTTGGCATTGCAGTCAGAAATGACTATTTATGCCAACCAACCTCAGAGCAGACCCTCCCCTTTAAAGGTAATGCAAAGTTTTGGGAAATTTTGAAAATCGGATTGATAATAATTCTTTAAAGTTTTGATATATTTGGATGCCCCTGTGGAGCTATAAGCACTAGAAAATTTAACCCCTAAAACACTTCTGCTTTTGAGAAATTTAATAATACAAAATTTACCGGTGCTCCTGTTAAATTCAAATAGCGCCTAAGGCCATTCCATAGTAGCTGCGACCATGCAAATCTCAGAATATGTAGTTCTGATATATAATTTCCAAACGGGAATAGCAAAT